ATTTTGTTGAAGAGAATAAGAGGAATTTAAAGATTTTACTAATGATCTGCGATTGTGATGTGTTCAGAAATCTTCTTCCAAACTACATCGCTCTTGTCCTCTACTGAATGAAATGTCAATTTAATTAGGGAAAGCTAATTTAAAAAATGGATGGGAAAATTGAAAACCGCCAACTAATAAAACAAATGATCTGCTTTTGATAAGATGTTAAAAATTAGTATTTCTAAAGATAATAGGTTGCTAGTTGAAATAAATGGACATTAATATACTAATTTGAAGATTTGGCGCAGGTAATAGAATGCAAGTGCAGACTTCCCATGACACTTACTGGCTATTACCTGATGGACCATTTCTTTTGCAGATCACAAGAAGCCTATTTTAGACCATGGTCCATCCATGATGCTTAAATATGACCTTTGGGGGTTTGATGGATACCAAACATTTGTTTCTAAGAGATAAGAAACACAAAAATTTTAGATTAATCTCATCATTAAAATTAAGGAAAATTGTTTCCTACTTACCGTAATTTCCTTTTCCTGATCATTATATATGGCAGCATTAACTTATGAGTTAGCTCCTCCCCTCACAGCAGAAAGGACAGGAAATAAAACTCTGAAATTGGTATAAATATATCCACCACCTCCCCATCAGGCAGTCTTCATATCTAGCTTCACAATTCTTATAGTATATGGGTGGAAACATATTGCTGCCATGAATAATGATCAGGAAAAGAAGATTACAGAGAAATCATCAGTCTATAATTTTAATGGTAGATGTATTTTAACAGTGAGAGACAGAATAACAAAAAAACTAATCCAGAAAAACGCATGTCAAAAAAGTTATAAATTAGGGATGGGCAGAAAAATTAGATTTGGTTCGGTTCGGAAATTCAAGTAAGTAAAAAAATTTGTCTGCTTTGGCAATTAGGACCAATGGCGTTCGGTTCGGTTCGGCACTTCCAAAATTCGGAATTTGCCAATTTGGTAATTGGCAGTTCAGAAATTCGGAACTTCGGCAATTCGGAACTTCGGGACTTCGGCAGTTTGGTTCGGAAATTCCGCAATTCAGCAATTCGAAATTCGGACATTCATAAGCATCCGAATGTCCAAATTGCACGAAATTCGTCCGAACGTACATTCGGAACGAAACGAATTGCATATGTCTATTATAAATTGATTTGCATGTGAATGAGTGAAATAAGTATTTGATCCCCTATCAATCAGAAAGATTTCTGTTTCCCAGGTGTCTTTTATACAGGTAACGAGCTGAGATTAGGAGCACTCACTTAAAGGGAGTGCTCCTAATCTCAGTTTGTTACCTGTATAAAAGACACCTGTCCACAGAAGCAATCAATCAATCAGATTCCAAACTCTCCACCATGGCCAAAGCCAGAGAGCTGTCTAAGGATGTCGGGGACAAGATTGTAGACCTGCATAAGGCTGGAATGGGCTACAAGACCATCACCAAGCAGCTTAGTGAGAATGTGACAACAGTTGGTGCAATTATTCGCCAATGGAAGAAACACAAAATAACTGTCAGTCTCCCTCGGTCTGGTGCTCCATGCAAGGTCTCATCTAGTTGAGTTTCAATGATCTTGAGAACAGTGAGGAATCAGCCCAGAACTACATGGGAGGATCTTGTTAATGATCTCAAGGCAGCTGGGACCATAGTCACCAAGAAAACAATTAGTTACACACTGCGCCATGAAGGACTGAAATCCTGCAGCATCCACAAGGTCCCCTGGCTCCAGAAAGCACATGTACAGGCCTGTCTGAAGTTTGCCAGCCAACATCTGAATGATTCAGAGGAGAACTGGGTGAAAGTGTTGTGGTAAGATGAGACCAAAATCAAGCTCTTTGGTATCAACTCAACTCGCCGTGTTTGGAGAAGGAGGAATGCTGCTTAAGACCGCAAGAACACCATCCCTACTGTCAAACATGGAGGTGGAAACATTGTGCTTTCGGGGTATTTTTCTGCTAAGGGGACAGGACAACTGCACCACATTAAAGGGACGATGGACGGGGACACGTACCATCAAATCTTTGGTGAGAACCTCCTTCCCTTAGCCAGGGCATTGAAAATGGGTCGTGGATGAGTATTCTAGCATGACAAGGACCCAAAACACACATCCAAGGCAAAGGAGTGGCTCAAGCACACTAAGGTACTGGAGTCACCTAGCCAGTCTCCAGACCTTAATCCCATAGAAAATCTGTGGAGGGAGCTGAAGGTTCGAGTTGCCAAACGTCAGCCTTGAAACCTTAATGACTTGGAGAGGATCTGCAAAAAGGAGTGGAACAAAATCCCTCCTGAGATGTGTTCAAACCTGGTGGCCAACTACAAGAAACGTGTGACCTCTATGATTGCCAACAAGGGTTTTGCCACCAAGTCAAAGTGGTCAAATACTTATTTCACTCATTGATATGCAAATCAATTTATAACTTTTTTGACATACGTTTTTCTAGATTTTTGTTTTATTCTGTCTCTCACTTTAAAAATACACCTACCATTAAAATTATAGACTGATCGATCCTTTGTCAGTGGGCAAACGTTTAGAATCAGCAGGGGATCAAATATTTTTTTCCCTCACTGTATAGCGGGAGGAACAGAGTTCAAACATTTTACATTATTGAAACTTAGGGATCTTTTCATGTTTATAGCTGCTTATCTTTTTTTTTTTATCTGTGATTGTTATATTATTATGATTTTTCTTAGTATTTTTACTCCTACATGCAATCTCTTATATTGTTCTATTGCATTACATGATAACAGAAAGTGTACCGAGTGCTCCATAAATAATATCCATTTAAAAGAAATTTAAAGTTTATTTGTATTCACCATTCCATACATATAGATAATATAACATAAATAGTCACTTTAGTAGCTTTAATTTGCAAGGGGGGAGGGGCAAGGGACAAATGCACTCGAGGTCACTAGCATACAGTGGTTATGGTGTTTCTGGGGGTGTTTTCAAGTGGCCGCGAGGTGGGATGAGACAGCACTCATGTCATTCATAACACAAACGGGTCTTCACTGACAGCAATCAAGTTGCAAAAAGCAAAATCAGTGTACAAGCATGCTCAGATTTCTGTGAGTGCTTGGTCATATTGGCAGAGGTCAGAAAGATATGTGATGACACACATTGCAATTCTAGCAGCTTTGATCTGTCAAACACATATATCACATGTCTACATGAATAGGACAATGCACACAAAGAGCATTGTCTGTGCACCTGCCCCCAGGCCATACGTTACCAGCAACATTACCTTTACCTGGTTAAATACTTTAATACTGTTATCAGAGTCTGTGAGAGAAGCACTATGAATCAAATGGGGGAGCATTGTTCTTTAAAGAGGCAATGTTACATTACAGCTAGACAAACACAGAACGATCCACCTTGGCTCCTGGCCTCTGATTATGTATAGTCTGTTTATTTAGGAATATTGATCAAGGAATGATTTAGTTTCTCGGAAACCTTGTGAATTTCATGCGTTACATTGGTCCTTTGCAATTGTGTTTGTTGCTGAGCAATTAGAGTAAGGGTAATGAAACACAGACAATCAGAATAACACAAACACGGCCCCCTGTTTTACATCTCTTACAAACTCTGAAAAGCCCTTTTTCTCTTGTTCAGACTAACAACAACAAAAAAAAACCAAATAAAATTATCACTCCACTATTTTAACGTTACTTAAATAATGAATATGTAAAAATTATTTGTCAATGAAGGACACTGGAGGATACCGATTGCTAGGGCACAAAGAAAGCAGGGGGAATATTTTATTTGCAGGATATTCTGTCTTTCTGGAGTTCAAAGGTATTACATAGTAAGCACAAACAAGTGTTCCTTATTATTATTATTTTATTATTTATATAGCGCCAGTACATTCCGTAGCACTTGTTTCAGAAGAAGGAGTTTGTGGCAGTTATAAAAAAAAAAAAAAAAATCCAATATTCTTTGATTGGTCCCAGAGATGGGTCCAACAAATCTTAGAAAAAAAAAAAAAGTTTTTGGGACTGCCTGAACAATAACCTCTACAATAAGCTGCAGTAGTTATAGTTATTACTACCATAACTACTGTAGCTTATTGTAGAGGTTACAGTGCAGGGAGTCTCAAAAATATGTTAAAATTTGAATATTAAAGTAAAATAATCAGATAAAAAAATAAGCCAGTTTTCCTGGTTTAGTTATATGATTATCCAGATATTAGGAATTTCTTCATTCTAATTATCTTTCTGTCTGTTTGCCATGTGGTCTTTAATTAACTGACTGACAAATAGTAAAATGTAGTCCAAAGTCTAGGGTAGGTAATACAAAAATCTTCCAAGCTGCAAACTTTGCTATTTAGTTCACTTACCATCGATGTCTATTTAAAGAATACAACTCTACTTCTCCAATCTGTTTCCCAGTAACTCTCACAAAGTTTTTTTTTTTTTTATTAAAGTATAAATTGTTGTGATTTTAAAGTGAATTTCAAATTTTAGGCCAAAGTAGCAGAACTTAAAGTATAGCTGACATTTTCTTTCAGTTCGGGTAGTTGATCTTAAGTCTGAAATTCACTTAGAATTTTCGCTTTAGTGAATAAATTGCATTATGTATGTGCATTAATTTACCTCTTCGTTTACCAAAGAGCTAAGCATTATTTTGGTTTTTAAATCCTATGAACATGTTTCCAGTTTCTTGGAAGTAGTAATTTACTGAAAATATATGGGAATAGTTGGATATTTTGTTGTGTTATAGAACCCAGGTAACAGAAAAGTAGATGTGATAGAGGGGTTTTAAAAATAAAAAGACAAGTCATGCTATTTTAGGGGGAAAATAATAATTGAATTCTTTTTTGTAACATTTTTATAATGCTAGTATTCATAGACATTGTCTCTTTAAAATATGCTTCAATAACAGCTAAGGTTCATAAAAATAAAAAAGAGACTTGAGAATGTATTACACTTGATTGTGCAATATAAGCGTGATTGTGTTACCATATTTTGCGTATTCTGTTCACAGCCCTTGAGAATGCACTGTAAGAGCTGTGCGCTGGTGACCAGCTCTGGACATCTACTGGGGAGCAAGCTCGGGGAGAAAATTGACCAAACGGAGTGCGTGATAAGGATGAACGATGCACCCACTCGGGGATATGGACAAGATGTTGGCAACAAGACCAGCCTACGTGTTATTGCACATTCCAGCATTCAACGAATCCTGAGAAATCGCAACGAACTGTTGAACATGAGCCAAGGAACCGTCTTCATATTTTGGGGACCCAGCAATTATATGAGGAGGGATGGAAAAGGTTTGGTATATAATAACCTGCAACTGATAAATAAGATACTACCTCGATTAAAGGTACATATAATTACGCGGCACAAGATGCTTCAGTTTGATGAACTTTTCAAGAAAGAGACTGGGAAAGACAGGTACAGTTTAACCGTATAAATGAACAATCTATGTGTGTTTTCTCTAAAGTACATGCAGTCCCCTGAGTGTACCACCCTGGAATTTCTCATCAGCATGATCTGTCCTTGGAAGCTGGTATTTAGCGGCTGGAACAGTTGATTGGAAAGAGGCCATCTAATTGGCCGCAGTTAAAAGAATATGATTGCAGCTTCGTAACATGCACCTGCAAGGGGATGAATATATTCCATTGTGTTCCATCTTCTGGCACAACAGAGTTTCATTTCTTTGAAATGTCTCTGCTGTTCTAGAGAGAATAAGTAGGAAAAACAAAAGAAACAAAAAAAAAAAAAAATTGCCGAACTAAGATTGAGACGACTGAACTTTTATGACAGAGATTATTTGAAAACAGTTCATTGGATTTCTGCTAGACATGTATAGGTAGATTAGGAATAAAGGATAGGACCAATGATCTCACACTATATGCAATAACGCAGTGAAGGGTCTCTTATTTGGATATTCCAGGCCTTTGACCCTTTTTCATGTGTCTAATAGACAGAAGAAGAAGAAAACTATTTGACCTTTTTTGTGAATATAAGTTAAATAGTGAGGACTAAAACAAGAGGGTATGACTTGACATTGGAGGCTGGAAGACTGGGGGATAATATGTAGAAATACTTCTTTATAGGAAGGGTTTTACAGAACTCTCAATGAAAGAACTGAAAACCAACAAAGTGAAGGAATGAGAGAATGCACGGAAAGAGGATAAGGCTATCCTGAAGCAAAAATGAGAAAACCAGTCTAATATTTTATAATAGGCAGATTCAGATGGTTGATTTGTTTCTACATAAACCTCTCATCAATATAATGTATATGTATTGCTGTCCCCAAATGATACACAATCCCTTTAGGGTTATTTACTAAAGGGAGAATTCAGAGTAAAATCCAAATTTAAGGTCAAAATAGATCAATTAGAAAAACAAATCTATATGCTTCCATTTCTGCTACCCATGGCTTACAATATGAAATTCACTGTGAATTCTCACTCTAGTAAATAACTATGATCGTGTTCAGCTCGACATTGTGAATTGTAGAATGCTGTTAATGGCACTGGTGCGGAGGCTGCTGGATGTTTAGACCCTAGCTTACTTGGACATTTACCCTTTCAGTACCGATGGATGCTGTGATACTTCTATTTTTTTTTACTATTGTACTGGAATGTTTATACCGTACAGGACCCTTTATTCCCCAGTATTGAGCAGGATAGAATCGTACTGGGATATTTATTATTCCACATTGATAACTGGTTCCTTTATTCCACCCACTGGGGGAGACTGCAACAGTCTTTAATTCCCTGATATTGTGTGCTGGATTTAGGACTTGATAGGTGTGGAGCGGAAAATGTGACGAACCTTAATGTGTTTAAATTTACATATCCAACATCATATCAGTTATGGACTGCGATGGTTGCAATGACACAACTTCCTTTTTTTCCCCTTGTTTGTTGCAAAATTAGAAGCGCTTCTTTTGGATCAACAGCAAAAAACAAATGTGAGGAATGTCGAACTTGATGGACACAAGTCTCTTTTCAGCCTATGTAACTATGTAACTTGAAACGGAGCCTCCACATAGTACAGGCTGAGTACTGGGAAGCTATTCATGAATAAAAAAAATACAGTTTGATACGTAATAAGTGGAGCTCCACTATAGCGGCTACAGCCCATTTCATAACAAATAAATGGGGGAAAAAATAAACATTTACTAGTGGGGCTGCTTTGGGCTCATTACAAAGCATTGACATGGAGCTATAGCTTTAATAATCCCTATGTTATCCGGTCCTGCTGATATTGAAGAGAGCAGGGACCTTTATTTCACCAAATGAAGCATCGATCTCTTGTTTTTTTTATACTGAGCATATTCAAGATACCTGCTCGTAAATTGGATTACACCGTGTTAAGCCTCACTACCGCTGAAAAAAAAGACTAAATCAGATTACTGCAGATTAGTCATTAAGACATCAGACTATATTTTAGCCTTAGCAGTGTCTTCATTTAGCAGTGTTTGTCAACATTAAAGGAAAGCAGGTGTTACAAGTGTGGCTTTTATTTTAATTTTATTCTCTTCATGACAGTGGGTCGGGCAGATTCCTTTTTTTTTCAACACTTCCTGCAATTATCTTTCTAAAGTTATTAAATACAACATTATATGCTATGCAGTTCATTGACATGAGAAATAAATGCTAATTAAAGACTTATACATTTTCTCTGAGATCACAAATTAATTCCCACACATCTATTCACTGAGGTGTGAATTTATGGAAATTCAAAGTGAATTACAAATTTTAGGCAAAAATTGATTCTCAAACAATTCAGACTTTGTGAGTGAATAGCCTTAGAGTAATTAAAAGACCCTATGAATGTGCATTGTTCTACTATAAAGTCTAGCTAGAACAATAGGGTACCATCTAATGTTGGATGGAGAGGAATTTGTAGCCAAAAGATGCGGTGAGAAGTCTTCCAGTAGAGGTGGTGGATATTAATAATGTAGACAAGTCGAAGAAAGCTCAGAATTTGCTGCTTCTTAAGTTGGAAACAAACTCAAGAACAAAGAATGTAATTTTAGTTAGGGAACGGATGTAAGTGAAATCGTAGTTAGGGACAGATGGATAGACGGGCAAATTAGTTTATGTCAATCAAATCCAAATCTATGTGTTTGCATCTAAAAGAGTTTTTCAATTTGAAAGAGTAATTCAATTTGGAGAAAAGGAAGAATTGTGTAGAAGAATTGCTAATTAGTAAATGTATATTTTTAATTGAAAACACACTAAGAAAAATGCAATCCCACACTACAACAATAACTATTAAAGAGGGCCTCGCTAGTAAAATAATTACCAGGATAATAGATCAATGAGCATTATAGATGGCACTTTAGATAATGTGTTTCTGCTCATTGGAATCTGGTATTCAGTGGTCAAACTTTTTTTATACTGAGGATATTCAAGATACCTGCTTGTAAATTGGATTACACCGTGTTAAGCCTCACTACTGCTGAAAAAAAAAGACTAACTGAACTACGGAATCAGTTGGTGCAATATAAATGGCAATAATAATAATAATAATAATAATAATAATAATAATAATAATAACTATTCCTAGAGTGTGGCTTCTTATACAATAATGTTTGCAGTAAATATATTTGCAACAAATTCTCACGCCATAAAATCAGGAATAAATCTGTCCATATAGGCTTACATCACTGTATCTAATCCTTATTATTTTGTGATAGGAAAGCTTAGTGTCTAATTTAGCCATTTTTCAACACTCGTCTTATTTCAACTCATTACTACCTCTTTTAGAAGGCCATACCATGCATCTACAAACCTGGCTTATAATAAACATGAACACTATAGTCACTAAAACATCTTTAGCTTAATGAAGCAGTTTAGTGTATAGATCATTCCTCTGCAGTTTCACTGCTCAATCCTCTGCCATTTAGGAGTTAAATTACTTTTGTTACTGTTTATGCAACTCACACAGCCTGCATGAAAACAAAATGGTTTCATTTGCACACCTCCATTGGCTGTGACTCACACAGCCTGCATGAAAACAAAATGGTTTAATTTTCAATCAGATGTTACTTACTTTTACCCCTGCTTTGTAAATTGAACTTTCATTGGATACTCCTACAGGGTCTAACAAGCTATGAACAAGTCAGGAGTTAAGAAATTCTAAATTAAACATAATTTGCAATAAATTAAGTGTATACATTATATCACTCTTTACAGGAAGTGTTTAGGAAGGCTGTGCAAGTCACATGCAGGTAAAGTGTCACTAGGGCTGTATAAACAAAGTGATTTAACTCCTAAATGGTAGAGAATTGAGTAATGAATCTGCAGGGACATGATCCATGCACCAAAACTGCTACATTAAGCTAAAGTTGTTTTGGTGACTGTGGTGTCCCTTTAACACATCAGGTTTTCTTACTGGTGGACCACAGCTTGATAACATCATTGATGTAACAATTTCTGACCCAAAAGCTCTGAATGAAAATACGTTTTTTATTTAATTTTTTTTATATTGTGTAAATATAAGCAGTCTTTTTTAGCAGGAGAAATCCGCAGAAAACATATGCAAACTAGGTGCATTACCAACTCTACATTCAGTTATCAGAGACACTGTCTGTAAATGTAAACTACTGGAGATATTATTTTGTCTTATTTTTGTAATGTTTATCCCATTTAGGACAGCAGCAGGTGAATAATGCATGTGCTATTTTTCTTTCAGGAAGATTTCGAACACATGGCTCAGCACTGGGTGGTTTACAATGAGCATCGCCTTAGAACTCTGTGACAGGATTAACGTGTACGGTATGGTAGCACCAGATTTCTGCAGGTAAAAACCTGTAAATTAGAACGCTCTAACAAATTCTTCTTTAACTGTCTCATTAAAGTGGAATTTACACTGGATGAAAAAACACGCTCACCTGAGATACACTGTACATAAAAAATATATTTCCAGACTATGAAGAAAATATTCAAAATAATCAACACAGAAAAAACACCACTTTCAGAAATCTTAAATAAAAAAAAAAAAACCCAAACAACCTGTCAGAAGTCTTAAAATCTGTTTATTTATTTAGGCATAGCCTAACAAATTAAATGCAGTGTGTATGGACCAGGATCCATCAAATCTCATTCTGATCTGAAAGTTATAGCACTGGTGAACAGACACAAACATTCTACAGTACGGATTCATTGGCGTCTCCATTCTCAATGTCTCAGGTAGTTCCGTTCTTTCGTGATGCTGGTTTTCATTCTCTCTTATTTCGGGCAATGCATCATCAGAATTAGAACCTCTTAATGCTTGTCAACCGTAACTATTAATTATAAGCGATTCAGTCGGACCTAATGTGTTTTCATATCTCTTTATATGGAGGATGTCTCAGAGGTACTGGAAATAAATATTTTAAAGTAAATTAGCCTGTTTGGAACACAGTCGGCAGAGGAAAATTACAATGAAATGAAAATACAGTGCAGCTTGTGGATATCTAGTCTGCCGGTTCCAAGCTATTTTAAAGGAATGGTGACGTTTCTGTGGTTTTTGAGGGATCTGCAGCCACAGAGACATGGTACATTTTGTAAAGCGTGTTACCTCATAGATTCCTGTGTCTACTGATGAGGGGTAAATATTGTACATGCCTCATTGTAAGGATTATGTGAAGCCAACGCTTCCTGCATGGCCATCTTCAGTTTTTATGGGTTACGAGCCCCTCTCCTCCTCTGTCTGTTCCAAGAACTCACAGAACTTACATTGTTAACACCTCACATCCCTGATGACCCTTTGCCCCTTTACACACTAAAAGGCCCTGATGACCCACTGTTAAACTCTCTTAACTCTTCCCTGCCGTACACATTCCCAATGCCGCTTGCCCTTCAAAACCCTAAATCCTATTATTTTAAGAAAAAAACAAAACTTTATTTGTTAGATATAAATCATTTCTCTCGGGTTGTACATTCCATTCTAGCTTTTGTCCAGAAAAAAATAGAATGGCAATACTATGTTTTAAAATAAAATGTGTAGATTTTAATTTCATGTTTGAATGGCTGCCATTCTGGTTAGATTACTCATATATACCCCAGAATGTTTCTGTGTGATTGGGTCTACATAGTTTTAAAGCTATTTCTGGATTTATCCCATCCCTCTATTTTGCACTGCTGTCTTCTAGAATAGGGATAGGCAACCTTCGGCACTCCAGATGTTGTGTACTACATCCCCCATAATGCTCTTACACCCATAATGCTGGCAAAGCATCCTAGGAGATGTCGTCCAAAAGATCTGGAGTGCCGAAGGTTGACTATGCCTGTTCTAGAATGTACCCCATCGATGTCCGGTGAAACACACACTTAAAATCTATTAGAAGGAGAATTTACACCTTCAGATGCCTGCCGTAATAAGCTAATCGTTGCTAATATATTATAAGTAATGCCATTTAACTATGCTATAATGTACTTTTCAGTGAAGACTTAAATTAAACTGTTAAATATTTTTAAATGATTATATATACGCACAAACACCAGTACATACGTATACACACTATTATTGATTCACCAGCTTGCTTCTTTTGCCAAGCAGGCACTGGGAACTATGTAATAATCAAATAAAATCTGTCTTTATTCAATACATGAAATCACTAAAATACTTCTTCTTCAATCTGAGGTGCCCCAAAAGCAGTCCACAGGCTTTTCCTCACGTAACATGCGGGACATATGTTTAACAGGCACATTTTTATATTTTAAGCAGGCTTTGTTCAATAGATCATTATACAGGCTAATAAACAATATAACTTGAAATAACAGAAGATTCATTCTAGATATCGAGACGTTGCTAGTCTGGCTTGCAGTGCTAACACAGCTTGGGTGAGCATTCATTCTAGCGTGTTGTCGTATATAGTGCTATAGCTAAACAGCAGAGAACAGCACACGATCTGCGCTAGTGCATAGGGGCCTTTAGTGTTGGGTAAGCGGGCTAGGGAGGAAGGCAGATAGGGTGTCAGTGGCTACCAGGCTAGGAACATGTAGAGACATATTAGTTACTCATATTTCAGGAGATACTCCCGTATGTTTAAAGCTATTACAATGCAGTAAAATGGGAGGCTTCTCTGAACCTGAAGCAAATTAAAGAAAACAAAACAACAAATATTCAAAACTGTTATGTCTTAGCGTTAAATTATCCAGGCATGTGCCTTCTAATGAAAAAATGCCAAGCAGTGAGTCTGACATGCCTTAATGTTTAGTCCCCATAGGCAGCCCCTCTGTGACCATGGCTTCCCCCGGCGTCAGTCCCAATGTTTCCCATTGATAGGTATAGTAACCAAAAGTCCCATGAGTCATGCCAAATGGCCCTTCTCAGCCGATGCCCCCACGTGGCAGAAGGTGTGCAAGCCTCCTGGTGAGCTGTCGCAGTGCATTTCCAGCAGGTGCTTCCATCGGTGGTGCAGCCGGGAGCTGTTCCCACGCATCCCAGGGATGCGGCCCATGGGGCTGGTCAGCGTCGTAGCAGGCTTTGTGAGCATTGCGAGGGTTTACGCTGTGCTGGTTCAGAGTTGTTAGTGCCGCTGATTGGTAGGTTGGACGGGTGTGTCGGTTGGTCCTATTCTGGGGCTTGGGGTCATGAGCATTGCTGTCCGAGGGCCCCGGCGCCTTTTCCCGCCATGTTGATCCTCGGCTTCGTTTCCATCTGGAGGCCGCTCGGGAGTTACTAGGTGGGTACTCCTGCAGGTGGCATCGGGTAGCCGGGCGTATCCATGCCTTTGCTTCTCTCACCGCCAACTTGTAGGTCTGTCTCCTGTTTTTGAGCTTCGCCCAGAGATAGGTGCATAGCCGGCCAATGAACTCCAGTGTGTGCCTGGGCGGCTTAATAGGTGTTCGTTGGGTCATCTTGGCTGGGCTCGGTTTGTCTCGTTTGGCTGGAGGTTTAGTCGCTTGGTTAGGCGGTAGTGTGGGGGTGGTCGCCCCCAGCAAGGAACTGGGATGTCCCCCACCGGTCCAGAGGGGGGTTAGCAGGGCTGTAGTAGACACTTGCTTGTGTGCTCGTCCCGTGCCGGGAGATTGGCCGCCTCTCCCGGACCTCAGGCTTTGCTCTGGTTTAGGCAGCAAGGACCGGGATGTCACTCACCGGTCCAGAGGGGAGGGTAGCAAGGCTGTAGTAGATACTTGCTTGTGTGCTCGTCCCGTGCTGGGAGATTGGCTGCCTCTCCCGGACCTCAGGCTTTGCTCTGGTTTAGGCCGCATGGCCGATGGAGGTTTTTCCTCGGTGCACTGGTGCCGGACAGGTACCGTTTCGTTTGTCATGTTGCTCTGTGTCTATTCCCGGTCACTTTGTGCCTCCAACGTAATAGTGTTGCTCGGTTTCAGCTCATATTTGCCATTTGTTGTAAGAGCTCCTAGGACATGCAACCGGCCATCTCGGCTGTCAGGCACCGCCCCTCAGTATGTAATAATCAATTGCATAAAATAATAATAAAAAATGGAGTGTGGAAAAAAAGCTGTAATATTGTTTATTTCAAATAAATTTACTTGTTTTTGCGTCAACCATCAAAAACTATATTGCATAAAACTATTTTACTGTGATATATAGTAAAGAAAAATGCACATACAAAATATCACTTGTACAAATTAGTATGTTAAGAGAACACTTAAGGCTCATTTCCATGCTTGTCATGGTCATTATCTGCATTGTCTGCCTCCATTGATACCGACCACCACTCCACATTTACCATGTTGCAAGCTGGACATGTGTCAAGAAAAGAGCTAATTTTCCAATTAATTGCCACCATAACTCCTCCAGGACTCTATAAAAAAAAAAAAAATTCAGTTCGAGCACACTACATCTGCGATTGTCTGAGCAAAATTACCTTAGTGTTTCTGGAAACCTGACTTGTCAAATTTCACCGGCATTAACTGTAAATGAATGACAATGCTTATAGATGGGTTTTAGTCCTTAAATATATAAAAAAAAATTGTATCCCGCTGTAGTGGTTACAGTACAAGGAGCACATTGTCACCGTCTCACAGTTAGAGGTCAATCCAAAATGTAATATGCGGTAACTCCCGGTAGATGCTAACTAGTTTTAGTGATTGCTGACTTGTTACTTAATTATTACAAGAAGAATGAAAATTAAACCATTCTTGTGTAGTTTTAACATGAAAAATAATAAATAATAAAATATGACTAACTCCTCAAAGTTTGGCTAGTAACTTGCTGCTAGTGATAAATGAAAATATTGCAGTAATTATTTGCAAAAAATCTTCTTTTTTAAGTTTGTCTCCCTTAGTGTTTCAGATATAGTATTACTTGTTTAAATAGCACTTATTCTGGTCCACACACAGTGCGTTCATCATTCATTCACACATCTCTCAGGGGTCTATATACAAAGTTCGAGTTGTAGCAAAATGAAAACTAAATGGCAGCGTTCGTAGTAAAATAGCGGATTTGAAAAAAAATCCTCCAACTTATCTGTCATCACATCTTTGAATTTCTAACCTGAGTTTTGCCTTTAGATTTGAATTAGTTCTAGCTTGGAATTGACCCCATCAGCTCGCCCACACAGCTTGTCAATCATCACTCATATAATAAAATATGTATAAAAAGACTCATGTCAACCAAAGTGCATGCGCGTCAATACTTTATATAAAGTACTATTTGAGATGAAGTTTGTCATTACTGTTTGAGACCTTTAGGGATTCGCTCTTCAGCTGTGTGTCATATGTGTAAATACTAGCAATCTGTACTGAACTGTATCACAACCATAAAATAGTCACTTTATATGCAGCGTCAGCAAAACCAGGCACACGTATATTTCTTTCACCTCTTCAATGATGTATAGACTTACATTTCATACAAATGCATTTTTCTGTATTATGTGATTTATATTATTTGGAGAAACAAAACATTGTACTCAACTGTTCTTCAAGGTTGTCGCCGTTTATTGAAGCTATATTCCACGTACGCAAACACTGATATATAATATTTATGATGGCGAAATAAAATATCTATCTGTGGAGGGAGATGCAGGCTGCTTGAATAGATTTTTATTTTTGCAAGAATGAAAGGTTCCCTGCAAAATAATAATAATAAAATATATATATGATAAAAAGAAAACAATATTTCCATTTTTTTTCTTTTTGAATGAATTAGGGACCCAATTGAAACAAGTTATATCAAAAGATGATTGAAACTATAAAGATACACAGAAGCAGAATATAAAATCTGGGTTGAGAATTATACTTATAGATTTTATCAAGTAACAGCTTGTGCTCTTCACTCTGGCTTTTTTTTAATAAAAATGTACAGATTCACAAAAGGCCCCTGGCCATTTTTTTACATTTTCTTTTATTAAAAAACTGTATTGCATTTTCAAATTTGTAAAAGCTGAGCATGTAATATTCAGAACCACTTATATGCTTGTGTCTTTCTACAGGGCCCCAAACCATACATCTGTTCCTTATCATTACTATGAGGCAATGGGACCCGATGAATGCACCATGTATATTTCGCATGAGCGTGGACGGAAAGGAAGTCATCACCGTTTTATTACAGAGAAGAAAGTTTTTGCTAACTGGGCACGGACTTTTAATATTCACTTTTTCCAACCAGATTGGAAACCAGAATCACAATCGTCGAGGTATCCAGCTGTAAAACCAATGTTCTAAAGAGGAGGTGTAAGCTAGTCAATCACAGTAGGCCCCTCCCACTAGGAACTGAAAAGGAATTCAACAGAAATCTGCTGCATTATTGGAGTTGTTCTGATATATGGAAGATTTGTGAATGTGGACAATCCTCCTTCAATCCAATATACTTTTAATGACTCCTGTGTGCTCACAAAGAAAATCCTTGGAGCCCAGACGTTGATTGGTTTAGAGACTGTATCTTTCATTTACTTAATCCAGATAAAAGTAATTTTATATCCCAATGCATTTCTTAAGTATTTGAAGACTTTCCCAAGTTGCACAGTTCTTATATTTCAGTATATGATCAGTGTTTTATTAGTTGTATTTATTGTTCTAATACAAAGATTTTTTTCCTATAATATTATCCTTTTATTCATTTTACATGTAACTGAAAAATTGGAAAGCGTATAAAACTATTTGCTATTCAGTTCACACCTTTGAACTCCCAATACCTCATCCAGATTTAGGTAAATACAGCTTTCACATTGCTGTCGTGTGGCAGCATGATTATTGCTGAAATCAATCTTACATTATTCAACTAAATTAAACGGTGTAAGATTTTGTATAAATTCTATGTCCATGAAAGGACAGGAGCGAGGTGAGAAGCTAAACTGCGAGGAGTGCCCTGCAGCAGGGCCTTCTATAATATTAATGAGACCCGGGGAAAGCATTTTCTTGGGCTCCCTGGACTATGCCCCCCTCCCCAGTCCCTGGCATGCAATCACACCTTCACCCCAAGCAGTGGGGGAACTAAAGTAGAAAGGTTCAAGACATACACAGACATATACACTGACACAGATATATTTACTGACAGACATGCTGATACATTCACAGACACATACAGACATACTGACACACACACTGACATACTGACAGACACACATACTGACAGACATACCAACACACACACAGACTCTGACACACACATATATACTGACAGACATATTGACACACATTCAGACACATGCACACACACACAGACATACTGACACATACACAGACAGACATACTGACACACATATATACACTGACAGATATACTGACACACACAGACAAATCCACTGACAGACATAGAGACACATGCACTGACAGACATACTGACACACACAGATACATACACTGACAGACATACTAACACACACACACATACATACTGACATACACAGACGCATACTGACAATCATACTGACACACACATACAGACATGCTGACACACAGACGCATCCACTGACAGACATACTGACACACACAGACACATAAACTGACAGATATCCTGACACACATATACTGACAGACATACCGACACACACAGGCATATACTGACAGACATGCTGACACACAGACACATACACTGGCAGACATATTGACACAGACACACACACACATATACTGACAGACATACTGACACACACACACACACTGGCAGACATACTGACACACACACTGGCATACACTGGCACACACACACACACACACACACACACACACACAAAATTTACACTTTTAAACTCACCCTCCAGTTTCCTATCTTGCAGTGTGGCTTCCCTGGTGTCCAGAGTTGTAGCTGAGGCTGTTGGGGGTTAGCAACTGGCTCTCCCAGCCCAGCCCCTGTCCACTCTGCCTCCTTGCCTGCCTCCAGCTGTCAGCGCTGTCGAAAAGCAGTGGGCCCCAACACTTACAGATGCCCACCGGTTGGGTCTTCCTGCATGGGCCACCCGTTGGGCCTCCTTAGTGTGCATGTCACCAACTCCAAAAGGGTCCCATTGGGGGAAAAAATAAATAGTTGAGGGCAGCAGGGCCCACAGGGCAGCTGCTTTGGGCCCCACAGGAGTAACTGGGCCCGGGGCAGCTGCCCCGTTTGCCCTGCGTTAAAGACGGCCCTGCCCAGCAGCTGCCAATGACCACATTACTAATGACTGTATTTGGAGTAGGAGCCATGATTGGATTGACAGTTGTAGGTTAGTCTATAGATAAAATTTAACTAAATTAAGGTTAACTGGAACAGAGTTAATTTAGGGCAAGGTAGTCCTTGAGGCAGGTTAGAAGGCATGTATTTCATAAATAGGTCAAAGCAGCTTAAATGAACATAACTCAGAAATTTGTTTGGAAAAGAAGGAATCAGGCTATTAGGATATCAGTTACAGGCATACAGATTGTATGTATCAAATTTTCAAATATATTCTAAACATGGAACCAGAATCAACCTAGCCATTCAGTGGTTATTCAAGTGTAAGTTCACCTGCCACGTCAAGGTAAACCTCTTAGGTGAGAAATAAAATAACAATTCACCTTGCTGATTTCAGCTAAAAGGCAAAATCTCTAATGAGACAGAGAAGGGTATGTTTCTAAACACTTATTAAAAGGACACCATAGTCACCAAAACAACTTTAGCTTAATGACGCAGTTTTGGTGTTTAGATAATGCCCCTGCAGTCTCATTGCTCAATACTGTGCCATTTAGGAGTTAAATCACTTTGTTTATGCAGTCCTACACCTCCCTGCATGTGACTTACACAGCCTTCTCTAAATACTTCCTGTAAAGAGTCATCTATGTTGATACTTCCTTTATTGCTAATTCAGTTTAATTTAGAATTGTTTAACTCCTGCTCTGCTAATAGCTTGCTAGACCCTGCAGGAACCTCCTGTGTGTGATTAAAGTTTGATTTACAGAGCAGGAGATAAAAAAACTTTTAGTTTTCAGTTTAGTTACAGCTTCTGATTGAAAATTAAACCATTTTATTTGTTTCATGCAGGCTGTGTCAGTTACAGCCAGGGGAGGTGTGGCTAGGGCTGCATAAACAGAAACAAAAGTGATTTAACTCCTAAATGGCAGAGAATTAAGCAGTGAGACTTCGGAGACATGATATATACACAAAAACAGCTTTATTAAGCTAAAGTAGTTTTGGTGGCTATAGTGTTCCTTTAACTTTAAATAGGGAACACACAAAATTAAGCCTGATATTTAAACCTCAAACTCCCTCTATTCTTGGAAAGCAAATAATAATTAAAAAAAGGTAACCTGCACACTATCCCAAATCTCTATATACGTTCACCTGCCCCATCAAGTAACCTACACTAACAATTCGCCTTGCTGCTTTCAGCTAGAGGACAAAATCTCTAGTGAGACACTTTAATGGTCATTGGACTGATGCTAAAAACCTCCAGTTTAAATGTGCATAGGGATTTATAGCCATTGCTGCCGCCCAGGAGTAGTGGGAGTTTGAGCAAAGGGCTTAATTTTGTTTGTTTCTAAGAAGAAAAGGATGTAAATACAAACCAAAATAAAAGGTAAATCAAAATTAAAATCATAAAAGCAAAGACATGCGTTTTGATATGAGATGTTCGATCCAAGGGAAAAAGTAAAGGCCGAGGTCCTAAAAGCTGGTTCCCAGATGGTGCGCACAGAGAAGTTACTAGATCTCAGAGTAGCTTCGCTGAATTTCAAATCACCAAGCGGCACATGGGAAAACAGTACCAAAAAGGCTCAGAGCTCCATTCTGCAAATATAGTAAACTCCAATCCCTCAGAGTATTTTTGTAAGATAAAAATGATGGTGACGGGAAGCAGGATTAAAAAATAAAAATTTTTTTTTAAAATCCTGCTGTTGTTGTCGTTTGTCTTAATAGAACATTCCATTAATCTACTGCTGAATCTGAAGCCACTATTTATCTAATCGTATATACTGCTTATTAAAAAAATTAGCGAAAGTTACAAAGCCAAAAAGCAGAGTAATTATTCAAGTATAATATACATCATTAGGACAAGTATGTGATAGTGTTCGGCTTATATAGAAAAGAAAATTAGAGAAAAGCGAATACAATTCTAGCTCAGTTTAAAGGACCACTATAGTGCCAGGAAAACATACTCGTTTTCCTGGCACTATAGTGCCCTGAGGGTGCCCCCACCCTCAGGGTCCCCCTCCCGCCCGGCTCTGGAAGGGGAAAAGGGGTAAAACTTACCTTTTTCCAGCGCTGGGCGGAGAGCTCTCCTCCTCCGATCCTCCTCTTCTCCTCCCCGTCGGCTGAATGCGCACGCGCGGCAAGAGCTGCGCGCGCATTCAGCCGGTCACATAGGAAAGCATTCATAATGCTTTCCTATGGACGCTGGCGTGCTCTCACTGTGAAAATCACAGTGAGAAGCACGCAAGCGCCTCTAGTGGCCGTCAATGAGACAGCCACTAGAGGATTAGGGGGAAGGCTTAACCCATTCATAAACATAGCAGTTTCTCTGAAACTGCTATGTTTATGAAAAAATGGGTTAACCCTAGCTGGACCTGGCACCCAGACCACTTCATTAAGCTGAAGTGGTCTGGGTGCCTAGAGTGGTCCTTTAACCATTTTTAACACAGAAACATAGAATGTGACAGCAGATAAGAACCATTCGGCCCATCTAGTCTGCCCAATTTTCTAAATACTTTCATTAGTCCCTAGCCTTATCTTATAGTTAGGATAGCCTTATGCCTATCCTACGCATGCTTAAACTCCTTTACTGTGTTAACCTCTACCACTCCAGCGGGAAGGCTATTCCATGCATCCACTACCCTCTCAGTAAAGTAATACTTCCTGATATCATTTTTAAACATTTGTCCCTCTAATTTAAGACTATGTCCTCTTGTTGTGGAAGTTTTTCTTCTTTTAAATATAGTCTCCTCCTTTACTGTGTTGATTCCCTTTATGTATTTAAATGTTTCTATCATATCCCCCCTGTCTCGTCTTTCCTCCAAACTATACATGTTAAGATCCTTTAACCTTTCCTGGTAAGTTTTATCCTGCAATCCATGAACCAAATTTTACCCAAATGCCCATAACAGACCTCCACATTAAACAGATCCCCACGGAGACATTTGAATCTAAAAATACAGATCTTTTAATTATTTTTTTTCATTACTCAATGATAAAAATGTCTTACAAGAAAGAAAACTTTGACATTTCTCCCATTTTCAAGTAAAATATACAAATGCAATAGAATACATATTTTGTTATCACAGTAAAAAAAAGTTATTGGGAGTACAAAATGTCCACAATAAGAATAATGCAATTTTTAATAAAAACACATTTAAATGCAATAAAAATCAGTCAAAATATCTGGCGCTATATAAATAAAAAAAAAAAAATAATAATAAATATAATCACACAAAGATTATACAGATAAGGGCATTAATGGATAAACTCTACTAAATACAAACCCCTAATAGTACACAACATATAGTATAAAGCAGGGGTTCCCAATTAATTTTTCCCGTGGAACCCTTTGACATAGTGTATCAACATCGTGGAACCCCCCAAAAAATTGTGCCACAGCACTAACCCTTTAATTAACAGAGCGTAAAGTTTTTCCTTGGACAACTAGGGAAGGGGGAGCATGACTGCTGCCCAGGATGTTGGGCTGGCTTAAAAGTGAAATACCTGTTGCAAAGGGTTTTGTGGAGAGGAAGAGGGAGAGGGAGAAGGAGAGGGAGAGGGAGGAGACTTATCAGTCGGGAGGATCAGTTAAGGGCCCCTGACTGTTTTCTGGCTGACTGTACTCTGTGAACTAAGCAAACAACTCCCTTTATTTCAATACAATTCCCAGCAGTATTCCCTTTCCCATGCTTGCTGTCTCTTTCTCCTTTCCCCATTATATGGCTGCACGCATAGCCCCAGAGACTGATCTGCAGAGACTCCTGCAGTCCTACCTGGAGTCGCACGGCCAGAGTGCTTTCGATGCCCAGAGTGCTTTCGATGCCCTGGTTTCGGGTGTGAGAACTGTGGCTAGCCCAGCTGTGGATGCTGAGACCGGTCGGAGCGACTAACCCAGCGGACGGAGGGCCAGAAGATCGAGGCCTCTTTCGCGCTTATACTACAGCCCGTTGAGGCAAGGTGATCGGAGGAGGCGGATGAGTCGGGATGACAGTGGAGGCCCGGCCGTGACCACATCAGTATCCAGGATCTGGTAGAGTTGGATTGGAGAGGTCGGTGAGAAGCAGGCCAAGATGGCGAAAGGAGCAGGTCCAGTGAGGTCATCAGGCATGCCACATGGCGCGCAAGCGTCGGACGTCGACATCATCGCTGACTCACTATCTGAATGATTTTTTATGTGTGGGTCCACGGGAGTTGGAGGACTATGAAGTGTTCTTGAAGACTTTATGATGGGTCCCAGTGGCGGGGGAGAAGATGGTGGGGCCAGTTAAGGTTCTGTCATATCTGGGGATGGAAGTGGATTCTCAGGTAATGGTTTTTCGTCTCCCGGAGGAGAAACTGGTTCAATTGCTTTGACTGGTGGACTCTATTAAAGGGGCGAAGAAAGTTCAGTTTCGTCAGTTGCAGGTCTTGTTAGGGCATTTAAATTTTGCATGTGGGGTTTTATCCACGGGAAGGGTTTTTGCAGGCGGCTATCCTTGTCGACCGTTGGTTATGCAGCCTTTTCATTTTATCCGTATCACGCCCTGGTTTACGACATTTGAGGCATTTGGTGTTGGGGTCCTTATCACAGTCTTCATGGAAGACTTATGCCACCATGTGGCGTAGGTGGTGGGATATCGGGGCTTACAGGGATACTTCCTCGAATGCAGTTAGGTTGGAGGCGACGCTGGCCTTATTGGAATCACTTTTTAGGGGCTCTGCGAGTAGGGAAGCTGGTGGCTCCCAGTACCTGGGTTCAGTCTCTTCTGCTTCTGGCGGACATGTTGGTATCTGAGAGCGGCATGATACTGGTCATTCATTGCTCTAAGACAGATCGGGAGGGAATGGGTGCGCGAGTTCCGGTTGGGCCTATGGGAGGCCCATTTTGTCCGGTTCTGTTACTCCTTGAGTTCCTGGTAGTATATGGGGCGGGAGGAGGATCCCTTCTCCTACATCAAGATCTTCACTAAGCCGATTTCAATTTTCCAGAATTCTACGGTCCTGCGTGGTAGGTATCGGTTTGTCTCTGGGTAGTTACACAACTTACTCCTTTCGGCTAGGGGCTGCTATGCAGGCTAGCTTGATGGGACTCTCCTCGGAGGCACTTAAGTGTTTGGGGCGCTGGCAGTCAGGGCGCTTTCAAATGTATGTGCATCCTCACTTATTGTAAGGGGGTTTGCTCAGCTCATGTTGTTTTTGTTCTGTTATGATTATAGGTGTGGTGCCTCGCTTTGTATGCATCGTGGGACACTCGTTCATTTATTGGGCGGCTAGGCAGGCGGGGGATAGACCATATGGCCTTAACCTCGGGTTCTCTCCTGACGTAGCCCAGGTACGTCGGAGGGGTATTCGGGGTTTGCATTGGGAACGCTTGTATTCAGAACTGGTTCAGCTTAGTCGCTGCATGTCAAGACCTGTAACTGTAGTAGTGCATGCGGGTGGGTACGATATTGGACGGCGACGGTCAGTAGATCTCATACATTCGATCAAGCACAACTTGGCGTGTCGTTTCGTGCTGTTTACGGATCTGAGCCTCATCTGGTCTGAGATGGTCCCACGTCCAGTGTGCCGCAGTGGCAGGAATGGCTGCACGCAATGTTGATGGTGAACAGATCAAAACACTGACAGAATCCATGGATGGCAGGCTTTTGAGTGTCCTTGCAAAGAAAGGTGGCTATATTGGTCACTGATTTGTTTTTGTTTTGTTTTGAATGTCAGAAATGTATATTTGTGAATGTTGAGATGTTATATTGGTTTCACTGGTAATAATAAATAATTGAAATGGGTATATATTTGTTTTTTGTTAAGTTGCCTAATAATTATGCACAGTAATAGTCACCTGCACACACAGATATCCCCCTAACATAGCTATAACTAAATACAAACTAAAAACTACTTCCAAAAATATTCAGCTTTGATATTAATGAGTTTTTTGGGTTCATTGAGAACATGGTTGTTGTTCAATAATAAAATTAATCCTCAAAAATACAACTTGCCTAATAATTCTGCACTCCCTGTAATGTTAGCATTTTCATACAGGGTGTGTTTGTATGTTATACTTGCATATACGTGCAGTGGTGTGTTATGATGTAGTGTTGGATTTTGAGTGAAGGGTGTGTTTTAGTGTTAGTATATCATTTTAGAGTTGGAGTTCAGGGTTGTCTTTGTATGTTATGTTTGTGTTTGCAGGGGTGTGATTGCATGTTGCATTGGTCTTTGATTGCTGGGATGTCTGCACATACACACTTATACATACACATTAACAAACAGAAATACACATAGAAACACATGGACACACAGATACCCACTGACACACACTCAGATACACACACAGATACACATATATACACACTCAAATACACACACTGGCAGATACACACTGGCACATACACACATTGACACTTAGATACACATCTTGACACACAGATAAACACATTGGCACATACACACTGACAGGTACACACACTGGCACATAAACATATATATCTGTGTGTATCTTGCAGTGTGTATATGCCAGTGTGTGTATCTGTCAGTGTGTATGTGTCAGTGTATCTGTGTGTCAAGATGTGTATCTGAGTGTCAATTTGTGTATCTCTGTGTATGTGCCAGTGTGTATCTGTGTGTCAGTGTATGTATCTGAGTGTGTATGTGCCAGTGTGTGTATATGTGTTGACATGCACACTCATATGCACACACTGACAGATACAGTGACACACATATGCACACACACTGGCAAATACACAGACACACTGGCACAAACAAACTGGCACATACACACTGACACACAGATACACACTGGCACATACATACGCACTCAGATACACACACTGACATGTACAAACTGGCACATACACACTGACACACAGATCCACACACTGACATACATACACACTCAGATACACACACTGGTACATAGACACACACTGGCACATACATACATACACACTCAGATATACATATTGACACACAGCTATACACACTGGCAAATACACAGACACACATGTACACACACACTGACAGGTACACACACACACTGGCACAAACAAACTGGCATATACACACTGACACATACATACGCACTCAGATACACACATTGACATGTACACACTTGGTACATAGACACACTGGCACATACACACTGACACACAGATCCACAGACTGACATACATACACACTCAGATACACACACTGGCACTTACATACGCACACAGATACACACATTGACATGTACACACTCGGTACATACACACACTGGCACATACACACTGACACACAGATCCACACACTGACATACATACACACTCAGATACACACACACACACTAGCACATACATACACACTCAGATACACACCGACAGATACACTGATACACAGATGCACACACTGACCCTCAGATCTACATAGTGACACTCAGCTGTGCACACACACTGACATGTACACACACTGCTACATGCACACACTGACCCATACATACACATGCAGATACACACACTGACAGATACACTGAACCACAGATACACACATTAACACTCAGATACACATCTTGACACACAGATATACACATCCTGGCACATATACACTGACACACAGGTACACACACTGGCACATACATACACAAACTGACAGATACACTGACACACAGATACAGATACACACATTGACACACAGATACATGCACTGACACACAGTTACACACACACACAGATACATAAACACTCACACAGGTTATATTGTTTATATTTGCAGTCACGCTCCTGTAAGGATACCTATTATCTGCAGGAGGGTGACTTGCTTGAAGTGCTGCTGGTTGCTGGGGCTGAAGTGCTGCTGGTTGCTGGCTGCGGGGGCTGGCTACTGCTCTCTCCCTTCTCCTGCCTTCTCTCCAGGTGAGAGGCTGGCACGCTCTGTGCCTGGGAGGAAGTGACACGCTGTCAGTTCCTACCAGCATCCCACACTACAGCGACCAGCATCCCCTGTTCAGGGATACCGATTGGTTGGCCTATCTACATGGACCACCCGATGGGAAAATCTCTGAGAAACCACAATTTTGTTCGGTTCCACGGAACACCAATTGGGAAACGTGTTCTTGGATATAAAGTAGCTTTTAGTAACCTGATAAATCTTCAAATATAAAATTTTTTATATTCTAAAGATGTCTATGAAGACTTTGATATTTCTGTCAACTTGATTACAGTGTTGTAATCTTCTGGGAAGGTACACTGTCGCAGTCTAGATAGTAAGTCCAACCCTTTCTGAAAGACACTTTTCAACATCCACTACAGGTGTCCAACACTTCACAGGGAAATCTATCTATCTATCTATCTATCTATCTATGGGCAAATTTCTACAGATAGTAAATCTGTCTCTCTCTCTCTCTCTATCTATCTATCTAGCTCTCTCCCTCTATCTATCCCTCTCTCTCTGTCTCTCACTATATCTATCTATCTCTCCCTCTATCTATCTATTGAGAGAAACGTATTGCACATTAGATAATGTACCATAACACAATTTAATATCACTTCAAACAATGAAATAACATAATTTTATTTTAAACATGTAGCAGCATTTGGTTTATTATTAATGTTACTATTAAAGGCAGGATGTGTCGAGATGCAAGCCTTATTTCTGTAAGATAATGAAATAATATGATTTCAGCAGGACCCGTGGGAGATCACTTAATGAACAATGATGTCCATGCCACTAAATGACAAGTAATAAGGCAGCGAGTATTGCTTTCCAGGTAAACCAGGATGTATGCGTTTTGGCATATATAATTTGTATTCAGTCCCAGTGCTCCCAGTTCCCAGTGTTGAACTCAATCTGTTTCAAAAATAATTTCTGGTGTTTTGGCTTCCAGATTTGTTATTGCAGGAACAACCTTGGTGTGTAAATCTAGTCCTTTCAAAATCCTGTAAGGTCATTGAATATTCTGCATAAAAATTCTATTCACCCACAAGTCAATTGCTAAACCTCTCCCTTGACATTTCATTTTCATCAGTTGGATTGAGCTTTGGCCGTTTAAAGGACTTTTACAATAATTATTATTACAAAAATTGCTTGGGCAGAATAATCCCCGCCTAAGCATATGGTGTAATAGTGATACAGCAAGCAATCTTTCTGGTAGTAGATATATTCGTTAGACGTGTACGTGAGCAAACCGGTATTTGCTCTACCTCATGTAAGTAGTTTAAAAAAATAATAATAATATCTTAGCCCTACTGTCACAGTGTACACTATTATCTTTGTGTATTATTTCCCCCCCATATATATGAGGAGGACCTGTACTGCCAACAGATTCTAGAGTGGGGATTATACCACTTCAAGCTGTACTATAGGTATCAATACAAGAGGTTCCTTAAAACTTTCTTTAAGGCCGTAGATGTGAACAGCTAAATTAACACCAGTAGCTGTCACTATAGTCCGTGGCTTAGCAACATACCCAAGAGTCAACTTTTTAGATTGAAGAGGAACTGCACGGAAATGAGTACCTTCATTGAACAAAGCAAAAAATTAATTCAAGACTTTAGAGATCGGGGCTACCAAGAAGAAATCATGGAAGGTGCTATTAAAGATGCACACTCCAAGGAGAACTACTAAAATATAAACCGAGGAATAAAGAACTCAGCAACTATGTAGCTTTTATATGCCAGTACTCTGGGGGCCAAAACAATAAAGTTAGGAGCATCATCAATAATTATTGGCACAGACTATTAGATGACCCAGCCCTAAGAAGCATTCTACCTCAAAAAAGGAAGATAGTACATAGAGGGGTACCTAACTTAAAAATCATTTTGACAGACGGCATTTTAGAAACCCCAGGTATTAATTCTAAAAATAATTTTTTAAATATGCATCAAGGTTTTTTAAAATGTGGGAATTGCAATGCTTGTGAGAAAACTGGAAATAGGAAAAAATGCTACAAAGAAATTTGAAGCGAATGGACAAATTTATGTTATTAGAGATGGTGTGACTTGTAGTTCTCGGAATGTTGTATACATGCTCACTTGTCCTTGTGGCCTTAAGTACACAGGACACTCAACTAGACCATTGCGGACTAGAATATGTGAGCGTGTATACAACATAAAGAGAAAATTTACCTGGTATCCTTACACTTCAGAGACCACCATAATGCAAGTCCAATGGGGAATCCAAAAAGTAAAAAAAGTGATTAGAGAGGGGGGGACTTCATCCAAAAAATAGGCCAAACAGAGATGAAATGGATATACAAATTAAAAACGATGGTACCGGAAGGACTCAACAATGATTTTGAAATCTGTCATTTTTTAAAATAAATACAAAAAGAAAAGTCCCGCGCTCACTCCCATCACTCCTGGGACGGCAGCAATGACTACAGTCCACATCAGCTAATACATATAGTAAAAAACAAAGAAAAAAAGTGAGCTCTCTCCTTAATCCCTATGTATATTTAGACATATGGAGGTCATTTAGTTGCTCCAATGGCCATTGGAGGGAATGCCCGCCTGCCAACGTCAAGGCAGACCCCCCCCCAGGCGGGTCCTACACTGACCCTTTAGCCTGCTTCCTTGAGCTTCTGGCAAAGATATCTCTAATGAGACAGAAAGGGGTATTTTTTATATACACCCCTGTATACTTAATAACCCTTAATAGGGAACACATGGGATGGGTGGCAGCATTGTAACAAGGCTGTGTGATACAAAGTAAATACAAATACAAAAAGAGAAGTCTTGCGCTTCCTCCCATCACTACTGGGCCGGCAGCAATGACTACAGTACACATCAGCCCCAATATATAGAAAAAAAACAAAGAAAAAAAAAGTTACCTGTGCTCTCTCCTTAATCCCTATGTGTATTTAGACAAATGAAGGTAATTTTTTTTGAATAACACCATCTCCACTCTTCATTTCGTTAATCTTTTAATTTTTTATAAAGTTTTATAATTTTTTATGGAATTTTTTTTTTTTAAATCTAATTTTTTTAAAAACATTTTTTAATTCCAATGTTGGATTTTTAGACTTTAGTACCCCTATTTCTCTATGAATTCCGACCCCATTAATGAAAATTGAATAAATATGTTTTTGAAATTGCACGAGTACTGCCACTTTCATACATACAATTCGCAACACTGCCACTTGAAGAGTGTGAATCCACTATTTTCCGGTAGGTCTTTTGCACTTTACTCTATAACTATTGATGCAGATACAATCATTTTTAAAAATGCTTCTGTGCAAGTGTTTTGAAATACTAATGTTTTTAATAAATGTATTTTTCTTTTCTTTTAAAATCTAGCTATTTCTCCCTAAGAACGAAATAATTCTAGAGGAGCTTCCTTATCTGTGAATTTTATAAACCCTATATTTATGTGTTATTATCAAATGAAAGAGTATGTAAAACCTTGTTGTTGTTTTATATGCATTTTTCTTACTAGAGTTATATAAACTCTTACTTGTGAAATAAGAGAACTTCTTGTTGTGAGAAAACTATCTAAATACCGTTATTTGATATGTAATTGAGGACTAATAGGAAACTATTGGAAAAAACCCAATGCAAGACTGTGGGCTATATAAACCATCATCAAAGATGGCTACCACAGCATCAATGACCTGAGGAAGCTGGGCATCCGGTGAAACGCGTAGACGAGGTCGCTAAAGGGGGCAGAGACAGTCGCAGCTCGAACCATTACAATGGAATTCAGCCCTGTGAAGCCGCAATCCAGCTCCAACTTCACTGATCGAAGCTAGAGTCTCCAGCTCCATATTTGATCAAACCAGGCAGTGAGTAGCGGCGCATGCCGTGCCAAACTCACCACTCTTTTCTGTAAGAGTCAGTTTGTTTAGTGAGCAATGTGTGTGGAATTTTTAATACCCTTTTCGTTACTGTAATAAATTCTTTATGTAAATCTTAAACATTTGAGCTAACTCACTTTATGAGTGTATTTCCTGAGCCCACTATTGGGATATACTTTATGGGAATATTCTTATTATTGAATAATTTTCTGTACAATCTACACCATTATATGCTTCTTACGCATTTTCTCCTATATGTGCTGAGGAATCACTATATGGAGGTCATCTTCTGAATATTAAGTATTATTCTCGAATTGCCTTTATTCTCTCACACTCTATATTTAGGGTACATCGCCTAAATAGTTATTTGTCATATACTGTTTCACTCTCATTTACTTTTTTCCATGTACAATATGTGTGTTTGAGGGTATCACAACTAGAGTGTGTTGTAGCAGCAACTTTAAAATCATAACAACTCTAAATAGTGTTTTTAAATCTTCTTTTTGAAAGCGCGCTCCAAAAAATACCATCTTATCTACTATTATCTTTGTGTATTATTCCCCCCCCCCCCATATATATGAGGAGGACCTGCACTGTTAACGTATTCTAGAGTGGGGATTATACCACTTCAAACTGTACTATAGGAGTCAATACAAGAGGCTCCTTAAAATGTGAGTGCAATACTTTTTACTTTTATTGAGTTCAACACTACGTTTCATATACTACACTATATTATTTTCTCTGCTCTTCGTTACATGTTCAACAGATATACCTACAACCAGAAAGACTGCTTGCTGTATCACTATTACACCATATCCTTAGGCGGGAATTAATCTGCCCAAGCGCTCAAGTTGGAGCTGAATTGAAGCCCCAGAAAAGTGTAAGTGTACATCCTGCTGATTGCATCTCAGGATAAAACAGTGTGATAAGTACCTTCAACTAGCAAGTCAAACAACTGTTTGATTTTTTTTACCTTGCAGTGTTCCTTGCAGAGTTTGCAACCCTTAGCTTAGATCTACATGAAAAAAAAAACCTGCTTAAAATCCCTTCAGCTCCACAACACAGAGTAATAAAGATGGTTTGGGAGGGGGCGACTGTACAGAAAATAAGAGATAAAAATTTAGGAAGGGGGCAATGAGGATAGGTGAAAATAGACTGGTGTAGATGGAGGCAAGAATAACTCTCCCTAATATTAAAAATCGCCAAATACTCATGAAACATTACCTAACGGGGGCAGGTTATGAATTCAGAGCAATTGCTAAAAAAAAATAATTACTATTTTACTATGATAAATCCTGAAGAAATTCATTAAAATGTAAGGATATGGAGAAATACAGGTAGGTATAAATAGAAATGCACACATTGTATTCTGACTGAATTACAATATATTGGCATTACCATTAATTTAATATTTAGTTTATAGCTTATTGGGATTCGTGACATAGTTCATTATCCTTTATAATAATATACGAATAGTCAATAATTTATTCATAGCTTTCAATAAATGCATAGCCTTGGACTGGAATATACTTGTAAATCTCAATAATGTATGACTAGCACAGAACAGGCTCCCTGGAAAGTTTATAAGGAGATGAACATCGCATCTGCTAATGCCAGGTTAAGCTTTACATAGAACAAAGAATGGGTGAGAGCTTACTAAAGTGGAGTGCTGTATGGACCTCCGGAATCGCCACATCAGTAATACATTTATACCAAAAAAAGAATGGACCAGCATCCTTCAAAATTAACTCTTATATAATCAGGCGTGAACAAGGCTCCTATATGTTGCAGTTTGGGTTCCTGGTCTTCACGAAATAAAACAACACTACTTTTATTTTGGAGAGTGCTGGACCAGGTTAAGCTTATTTGTGGTGGATATATTTAGTTTGTCCACATCAAGGACCAGGTGAACATCCTGGTTTAAAACGGTCACTTCTCTGAAATTTGCCCCAATGCATAAAAATACTGTAAACTGTATTAATGTGATCTGAAGTGGTCATGGTACCTGGAGTACTGTGAAATGCTGTGCATAACAAGGTTAACCACTTAGCTCCCAGTATCCTGGCTGGGTAATGCCAATGCAATTGTTTTTTGTGCACAGTCAGCTGACACTCTCAGCCCGTGAACTGCAGAAGTTGGAAATACATAATCAAGGAAGAGAGGAGCCTCGGGGCTTGGACAGTATTCACACACGAGGGTAAGCCATTACTAAACAGTTTGACCCATTACCAGGAAACCGGGCCAGAGTACTCCTGGTATCATAACCATTGTAGTGAGCTCTAGTGGTTCTGATGATTAGAATAACACTTTAACTTTTTTTGTTCATGAGATGTCCAGTCTTCTTTTAAATTTACATTAAAGATTTTACAAATTTCATTATAATCCAGTTCAAATGTTGCAAATGAACTGGAACATTATTTAATTTCACCTCTACTCGGTATTCTTTCTTTATGCTGACTGCCAGGGGCAAAGGATGGAACTTCTAATAGTGATTGACAGGGCGCTAGGATAGAGGTGCCCAGTTGCAGGATGATGTAGTGTGGATTTGTACATTTAATTCTAATGTCCACAATTTACAATTACATATTTGTTAAATATAGGAATAAGTCAATATAATATAAAATTATGTGAAATCACAGTGCCTCATGTTTGATTAATGTGAACGTTCAGGTAAAAGTTAAATCATCTCTCTAACCTGAAAGCTATGAACCAGATCATGCTTCACTTTTAACGTTACCAGAGGGTCATGCACGGCAATGAAAGGGTTAAGGAATAGCATAAAAACATACAATTTGCACTACTGAATGTATAAAACATATACCAAGCTGTTCTATGCAGAATAGAACCTATATGTAATCAGATCGATAACCGAAATTATTGGGGGTTTATTCGTGAAAGGTAAAATTTTTGCTACATATATATCAGTAGTGAAAACTACTTTTTTTTAAAAAAATTTTTTTAACTCCAGGCTCTTTGCCGAGCTGAGCTAACTATAACAAAATGCAGAAAATGTAAATATTTCTTGCAAGGTTGCCTGTTAAATAGAATAATTACTGTTTATCGTTTTTTTAAAAAGTATTTTAGCAGTACGCATTTTGTTAAGTGTAATATAGTTAATTTACCCTTCACCTGCAGGAGTCCTTATTGAAATGTCATGTTTATTTGGATATTTGTGGTTATAGTCAAGACCACATAGTAAAAGAGGCTGCAAATGGCACAAACATACAAGGCAGACATTCCCCTTACAACACTGCTGGGAATAGATGCACATATTTTTTTAAAACGCCTTTGGTTTCCTTAAAGGAAAACTGTCATTTTAGGATTTTTACAAAATAAAACATTACAAGTATTACAGCATGTGTGTGTATTATTTTGTGATATAAATTTAAGTAAATACATATTTTTTTCTGTGTTTTTCATGACTCTTCCCTGCTCTGATGCAGCCATTTTAAGACAACTCTGAGCACCAAAACCACTTCACGTCATTCAAGTAGTTACTGTACTTTGGAGTTCACTGGCACATTCTTACCTTTTTGAACGGTTTAACACCTAAGTGCAGTTGCCTTGGAGACGCTTCGACTTCCGTTCCTGCCATGCTCACAAATGCAGAACCATTCGCTTTGGAAGCAGTGACAGACTGTTGATGTTAAATATTTTGGTCTTTACGGCAGCACCACTGCTAGGAAATGCATGTTCTGGGTGTACGCCCCCACCAATTTCATTTTTTTCTGTGTATATTTGGAATCCAGAGCAGATTCCTTTTGGGCTGAACACAGCACTCTCCACTATAGGTGCCCATTTGGAAGTGACCACACAAACATGTTAACTACACTACCTACAGTAGGCAGTGTAGTTAACATGTTGACCTCCCATATTAAAATTAGTGTATGGATTACCGATATTGGGGTACTGTGATGTAGTGGTGGGCTTAACACATTATGGCCATATGCTGTAAGTGAATCCTCATATTTGTTTGCTGAGATACATGATTTTAAGTAGTCTTGTAAAACTGTATTTTTTGTGTGCTCTGTTTCTTAAAGGGACACTATAGGCAACCAGACCACTTAAGCTCATTGATGTGGTGTGGGTGCACTGTCAAAGGTCCCTTGACCCTGGAAAGCTAATTATTGCCGTTTTTAAAAAGCTAATTATTGCAGTTTTAACTCCATTTCTAGTGGCTGTCTAGAGGGACTTTCGGTCATCTGACGCTGGACGTACTCACTCTATGCATGGGGTTGTCCAGCGTCACCCAAAACCCCATAGGAAAGCATTGAATAAAGGGGAGAAAGGGGGTTTATGGTTGGGGGGGGGAGTGTCAATTTTGCACCTATATAGAGTATTCTAAGTCTTTGATTAGGTAGACACATGCTGATGTGCATCCATAGAATGATGAAATTGACTACAAGTCACCATGGAACAACTCAACATATTGTAAAGGAGTCAACTTTAGTGAGACTGTGTGTAGCGATGCTTATTCTATACCCAGTGCTTTGCACTGAGAAGGAGTTTTGCAAGATCTGTGTCTAAAGAACATCCTGAACAGACCTCCTACATACTTCAAGGTGATGGTGGTCTGGCCGGCTGTGGGATCTTCACAAAAGGTACGTAAGATTACTTGGATAATCCTACCCCCTGCTGGTGTCTGCACTGTGTCTAGCTAGAGTTAGCATGTCAAAAACACTTTAAGGTGCCCCAATGGTATAACCACAGTTGTAGACTATTAACATTTTTTTCCTTTATTAGGCACATTACAAAAATAGGTCACAAACTATTTAACAAAAAGGTGCCTTATTACCTGCACCGTTTTTTGTGCTTTCTTTACCGTCTGTAGAGGTTTACTATGCAGAGTAGTTATTTGCAGCTGCTGTTCAAATGGGCATCATTTTACCTACCTCAACTGGACCAGCCCACCAACGTCTCATGAAGAAATACATTGGCCATTTTTGCCAAATACTATTGTTTCGCTGATCCTGAATGCCCTTTGGTCTTCATCAATGACAATTATTTGTTAACCCCCTCTTTTACTGCCAACATATTTTATCCATTGCACAGACACACAGCTGTACTGTTGTGCTTTGGTAGTAGAATAAAACAGAAATAGACACACATTCAAATATATAATTTGATAAAATGTGTACATCTACTCATACACACACACACACACACACACACACACACACACACACACACAGAGAGAGACACATATACAAATATTTATAAGCAGTGAAAATACATAGTAGATACAGATCGTGTCCCAAACAGTGATCAAGTGAAACATGTACCCCCCCGCCCCCAACTTGCATATGGCTAACAACTCTTGGAGACTTAAAATAGTTTCCTCTGCCAACATCAGTCTCAGTAAAGGGATCTAGAGACACAACATTTCACTTTAATGCTTTGACATAAAATGTCTCTGGATGTATATACAATCTAGGTGTTAAGATAACGGTAATTAAAAAGCTAATCATTAAACGTAGCCACGGCCAATGTGGGAATAAATTGTAGCCATAAAAATTGCGCTGCACTACTGGTCTTATTTCACCACCCACATACAGGCAAACAATATAACCCCATATTGAGCACTTTGTGAAGATGGAGAGTTACCCAAGTGAGACATTGGCCAGGATATTGCTGCCCTTGGGCTACGTCCTTCTGCGGTCCTCTGCTTATTAAGCATATAAATTCACCTGGTATTCGTACAAAGTGCACACTTTGCACGGGAAACCTCATATTTCCAGATAACTGCATAACAATAAATGCAAACAGGAGCAATAAAAAAGCTTGATCGGGCAAAACGTAGTGGACATTCTGGTTTGATGAACGGCAAATAAATCAAAGGAGGTTTTTTTTCACGGAATGCTAAATCTTGCTTTAAATTCTAATTGCGCACAACTTTCTATTTACAAAATTACCTCAGGTATTGGACTGATCTGAAACACTGTACTTAGAGTGATAAATCAATATCTCTATTTTTGTTTCTGCTGACTAAGCTCTCAATATACGATGCCATGAGTTCACAAGGCCATGGAAATAAATGACAGACAACCCTTTTTACACTATATGAAACCTGGCTGGCATGTTTGGATTATTTTTTTCCAAGGCAGTTTATGCACAAGCAGGAATCCTGTTAGGAAAAAAAATGTTTCAGAATTCGACAGTGTTTGAAGACCAGAGACCACATTTCAAAACGCATAATAGCCTTAAATAGGTTTTATTGGCTGTTATTACAAATTTCAGTATGATATAAGTCCGATTTGTCGAAACAAACAGTGGCATCTGAACATCTGTTAAGACGGGTGATATTCCTCGCACCATCGGCACAGAACGATTCCCGCCGTCAGTAGTACAGAAGTTGTGTCATAAATCTCAGTGCTTAAAAAACATGTTTCATGTGCTTCAGGCCATACGTTTTGAAGAAAATCAAAAGAATCAATCCCCACAATCCAATAATAAATCCCCCGGGAGGGTGCCATTCTTTCAGTTTCGGTTTCTGGAAATAAAAAGAAAAACAATTTTTTGTTGTTTTTTTTTTTTTTTTTTTACATAAAATTGGTTATGTGGAATCACAATATCATAAATTCTGCCAAGTACATATAGCATCCAATTATGTCCGGGTCTAGATATTATTTCCAAACTCAATAACACTCATTTCATTGACTCTGGATGGATGAATTTTGGATGTGTTTACCATGCCAGGAATTAAACCTGTAACAAAGTCTCATCTCTCGATGACTCTGTCACTATCAATACATTTACATGATATATGTGATCTAATTTATATTACTTTGCAATGTTATGCTGTACATTTGTTTTGTTATACAATGGAAACCGCAGAAGATGACATGCGATATATAAAGTACTTCCCCACTTTGTAAAGGTTGGATTTATTGGAAGAATCCAATAATCTATGTATGTATTTTTTTTTTAATTCAGGGAAATGATAGAACATGTCATTAAATGGGTTTCAGGGAATGCAGTGATACGGCAGTAAAATATCTGTCGTAAAATCAAATCTTGCCACTTTGAATTCAGAGAACTCTGAAAAGTGAAAAATGACCATCAGTAAAAACATAAAAAGATATTTACAAAATGCTCAAATATTTTTCTAAATATTAAATCATTAAAAAAAAATGTATCCAAAAATATTAAGTTAAGGCCATAATCCTTCCAGTGTTATCTCGGTAAAAAAAACAAGAAAATCCTTGAAAACAGATTATAACATGGGTACAGTACTCACACAGAATCTTACACAATAATATAAAGGAGAGCATTGTTCGCACAATGAAAATTACATAACGCTATCCTTGCACCTGCCCCATAAATGTAATTTCCTCTTATCCTTTACAGAAGTACGCAAAACCACACTATCAAAAGAATAAAGCAACATTTCTCCTGCAAAATGTTAGACTGAACGTTTATATTAGGATTGTGGGGATCGTTTAATGAACTAATGACACAATAGAAACTATTTTAGAAAGACCAATTCTGGGAAACCATTGGAATGTTCATGTGACTTGTGTCACGTTTACCGCTATGCACTATAACTACATTTTATAAATAAGCCTCATTGTAATTCTGAATTAAGACTGCTGTAATAGTTAATGGAATTTTTTTATTTTATTTATTTGCACATTTATAACCCACGTCTATCTAGCCAATGTTTGTAGTAGTTTGAGCCGGTGGTGGCGGCAAACGCAATCCATCACAGCGGCACCGGCTGCCTCTGCACTCATTAGCTTAAGACAGCATGAGCTTAAGGTAATGAAAAAAAAGCTCAGTGTTCCCCATAAATATTCATTCTTATAGAGGATGCTAAATGATGCTGGGCAGCATTCCCAGCTTTTTACACTATAGTGTTGGATATGAGATTAGGAGCATTCTCCAGAGTCTATGCACAATTTTATTATTTTTCCAAATAATAGAAAATTAAAAAAAAAAAGGGAAAAAAATATTCTAGCAAAAGTTAACCTTTTCCCCAAATTAACCTTTCTTATATGCAAAAAAAGGTTCACATGAATGCTTTCTTAGTACGTCATTCTTAAAGTAGTGAACTATTATCTGTTCTAACCACAAACCCAATAGGCAGAGCTGCTTCAAGTCATGGTCAGCCACTGGTCAGTAAGGCCCTGCGCGTGGCTGAAACTTCTCAATTTTTGGGGGCATCTTAAATAAAGGATCTGTGGATTTAAAGCCTCGTGCTGGACATTTCTATTTTTCTGTATTGCTGTTGGTCGAACCAGGGTCTGTGCACATTAAGATGACCAGAATCTTCATTGTTATTTTTAATGACTGGCAGTCACTGGGCAGAGGTTTTTAAGGTAGGTCCTTTACAAACTTGCAATGGGATGAAGATTATCTCTGTCTATTCTCTATCCCAACAACTATACTCTCTTACATTATTACTAGAGTTGAGCGGACACCTGGATGTTCGGATCACGCGGGTTCGGCTGAACTTTGAAAAAAAGTCCGGGTTCGGGCTCGAACTTGACCCCGAACCCCATTGAAGTCAATGGGGACCCGAACTTTTGGCCACAAAAATGCCTCTAAAAAAACTCCTGGAAAGAGCTAGAGAGCTGCAAAAGCAAGTAAAATGGGGGTAAGAGTAGGACAAGTGCCCGGCAAACAATTGTGGATAGGAAAATCACTTAAAATAACATAAAAATAAAAAATACAGCCGAGCCATAATATAGCACTAGATGGAATCTTTGATTTTAGCTTTGGAAGAACATAAATCAAAATCTAAAGCATGGCTGACAGGAGGATCACCAGAATTATCCATTTAAGAGAAGGTTGGAGTGCAGGGTATTCTCTTTCATTGTTCAAACTGAGCTCAACTCCTGATGCATGGAGAAAAGGCCTTCACAAGCCTCTGCTAATGTGTACCTAGTTTATACTAAGTGACCCATAGGTTGAGGAGGCGCTGACCGTGGCGGTGTAGGTGGAAGTAGCGATGGAGGAGGAGGATGAGGTAGCCAACACTGTTTTTTATATATAATATATTTTAATTGGGTTAGCCCCCAAAATATTGGGACATATAAAAAAAAAAAAAAAAAGACAACTCTGTTCCGCAGAGTAGCTGTTGACATTATAGTTGCGCAGGAACTTTTTTGATTCTAGAGAACCATGGGCAAATCGCACATCCCCGTGGCGGCGACTTTGCATGCGGATGTCATCCATATCAACTTTCGATGCCAGTTTCTGCGCCTACCATGGTGACCACGGGTAACGGGAATCAGGGTTCCATTCCGTACAGGGACCCTGAGAAACGGCTACCACATGCAAGGAAGGCAGCAGGCGCGCAAAAGACCCACTCCTGACACGGGAATATAGTGACGACAAATAACAATACAGGACTCTTTAGAGGCCCTGTAATTGTAATGAGTCCACTTGAAATCCTTTAACTGATCAATTGGAGGGAAGTCTGGTGCAGAGCCACGGACCCGTGCGTGCTGCAGCTGAAACCCCACAATCGCCTGCTGCTGCTCGCACAGTCTCATGAGGCGGTGAGTGGGAAGGCCGAAGTTACGCTGCAGCGCAGATAGGCGAGCAGCAGCAGGGTGACAACGCCAGAAGCGCGCACAGCCGCTACAGTGAATGTCACATCCTGACAGTGTCTGGGTCCTGGTCACCGGATTTCCTACCTCACTGTGAAACTACGAATGGATCGTTAAATCTGGTACGAACCTGAACTTTGCAGTTCGGGTTCGCTCAAGTCTATTATGGATCCTTTGATCGCTACATGTATTACTTGGATAACTGGTAATTCTCGAGCTAATCCATGCCGACGAGTGCTAGGGGACGGCCGCTCCGCTTTTGCACCCTGCTCCCTCTTATGCTGTGCTGGTGCCTCTGTGCCACAGCGCCTCTTCCTCCAAACTGCACACGTTACTCGCATGACCTTGATTCCATGTGGGGTCTAGGACCTCATCATCCTCCACATCATCTTCCACCCACTCCTCAACACTGTCCTCGTTGCCGGTATGCACACTGCAGAAATCCACAGCAGTTGGCACCTGTGTTTTTCCAGCATGTAAAGTCTGCAAAAGACATATGGAAATTGTTTTAGAAATTCCTCCAGGCAACAGTTTTCCCTATAAACTGACCTGTGAGGGTATTGCCCCAGAATTACAATATTGTTGAAGTACCTCTTAGCTATTGATCACTGGTTTGGATATAGCAGCTTGTTATCTGGTAGTTTCTAGTGTAGAAAATATCAATCTGTTTTCTATCACTTAGATCTGTGTAACAAGTGTTGTAGGTGTGAAACAATATTACAAGTGACCGATGCAGTAAATTCGAATAAAAGTTACGCTTCGATTTGACTCTCAGATATGAAGTGAACACCCCAAATATACTATTTAGCACCAAAGAAATTTTTTTTAATTTTTAAAACTCGTAAGCAGCAGATTAGCAGCAAAACAATTAGAATGTTTACCACTGCGCTGTAAGCGCACTATTAGACGCTTCTATTTGACTCTCAGATATGAAGTGCATCGCAGGCCGCAAATGTACTATTTAGCAGATTAGCAGCAAAACAATTAGAATGTTTACAATTGCGCTTTAACCGCAGTATTAGACACTTCAATTTTACTTTGTGATACGCAGAGCAGGCCACAAAATTTACTATTTAGCAGCAAAACAATTAGAATGTTTACAATTGCGCAGTAACCGCAGTATTAGACGCTTCAATTTGAGTCTAAGATACAAAGAGCAGGCCACAAAATGTACTATTTAGCAGATTAACACCCAGAAAATAAGAATGTTTACCGCTGCCCTGTAAACGCACTATTAGACGCTTACATTTGACTCTTAGATATGAAGTGCACCCCACTAAAATACTATTTAGCAGTTTAGGACCCAAAAAATTTTAAGTTTTAAAACTGAAATGTGACAGCAGTATTTGACGCTTTTGCCCCGTTGCCCCGTGACAATTGCCCCGTTGCCCTCCCCCCCTTGATCCGCCACTGGGGCTAATAGACTGAGAACTAAACCAGTGCATTCTGAAATGTTCCCACGATACAAAGCAACAGAAAGAAAAATCTTTAATTAAAAAAAGAGGGTCAGGAATATACCATCTTCTACCATCATGAGTTTGTTGTTATCTTCTTATTGTGTTTTTTTTTTATTCTATAACATTTTTTAACATTTTTCAATAATTTCTGATTTGCTATGTGTGTCTATGATAGCTATGGCATTCTCTTGCCATTCGATAATTTGTCGGTTTTGCATGTTAGAATGTAAAAATACAGCATATACTAATTGCCTGTAACTGAAAAAGCAACGTTGGCCAATTCTATATTATCTTGACAAATTAAAGTATTCTGCTTGGCATGCTGTGATGTTCAGCAACTACAGACACGAAGTGAACATACTGGTATTTGTACTGTTGTTCGTAATACAAAGATTGAAAAATATTTTCTTTCTTACAAGCATGTATTTCATACTTTTATCACTGTCTTTTTAAGTGATTGTAACCAACTAAAGAATAAAAAAAAAGCATTTAGAATAGATCTAAAACAGTTACAGATGAACCATGATAATAAAATTAATGTCACAAAAACATAAACCTGGTTTGAGTTTTGCTGCATTCTGATTGAGTGAAAACACAAAGTAGCCAATCAGAATAAAGCTGTGATTATAATTACATCATACTTCCACTCCTGCCTTACTAAAATGTAAGGTGCCTTGCTGTAATACAAGGCACAAAATGCAAATCACTTATGTTTGCAAACATTCCTAGACTAGTTTCATATACATTAAGGCACTTCTGACTCTTTAAAAACTCATCCAGGGAAAAGGAATTTCTTTGTATTTCATTCTACATTGTATTATATTTTCATTTATTGGACAATTGCAAATGGCACTTTTTGGTCTGCTTATCCTGCACTGTGAATTACGAGAAGTGTTGTTCGGAAATAAATAGGTTATTAAGGTGAACTTCCCCTAGATAGAGTTAAATCTGCAGGCGACATTAAATCTGTCTTAGCACGATCACTATGTCTGCTCGTTAACAGACAGTGACAATACCGCATACTGTGCTAGATCGCCACTGAGGATAACCAATCAGAAAGCAGAGTGTTACTAATCTATCTCATATTATAGATCAGGTGCGGGATAATTGCTCATCAAACTAGTGTGAAAACATTCAATGCTTTATTTAATCATAGTAGAACATGAAATAGATTAAAAGTTTTCTTTTTTTTAACATCATGCAGTTCTTTTTACAATGGATATGTTTTTCCAGATTAAAAAAAAAAAAAAAACGTGACCCCAACAGGATCATATTATTGCTTAACGTTTTCTTTAAGTTTAATGAGGGCTTTGTAGATATACTACTTTATATATTGGTAAAAATAAATCAGTGATTGGGTCATACGTTCACTAGCAATTCCCCAATGCATTTTGCGCAGTCAGTAACAAGCAGAAAAGAAAGGCTATAGTTTAGAGTGCACTGTGTCTAGCATAGCATGTACATCACACCAGATTTTATTTTGTAGAAATTACCAACAAATAGATGTCTGCCTATTGATGCACGCCATCTCCCATTTTGTCATAGCTCAAAAAAGCATTATGGGAGATGCAATTCTATGTGAGTTAGAGTACGAGTGGATGACAAGTCTACTTTATGTGCAAACTACTTTGAAGTTTAAGGGGATTTTTAAAACACATTCAAAATTGTATTGTATTTCTAAATGTATAGAATTGCTTTTTAACTGAAGGATTGTACGATAATTAAATGAAAGTTGTCTTTCTTTTCAATGTTTTACTGGTCTGTGTGGATGGAGCCATTTTGAGTTAACAGAAATACGGCTTGATGGCATTTCTGGTGTGGTCTGAATACTGCATTTTTCCAAAGACTGGAGTGTTTAAATGATCCCCTGCTAGTCTGGTTTGGTTCCTCCTGCACCAAATATTATTATATCCACTAATGTAGTATTAAAAAATAATGGTGTACAAAATAATGATATTTTAGAAATAAAAGTAATAATACCACAATATTAAGGCACGTTACAGGTATGTATTTTACAAAGAAAAGAAAAGAAAAAAACAACACAAAAACACTAAAAACTTTGTGAACTATAAAATCTACTTTACCAATCATAATTTGGCTCAAAAGAGGATTTTGAGTGCAGCACTTTTGCAAAAACAAGAACATTTATCACTAATAAAACCATTTTGGTGATTCAGAACACAAACCTTTCAGGAGAGAAATGGATTATACGACTTACAAAAATAAATCATGAGACAAAAAGAAATAAAAAATATGTTACTTTAATAATCAATAATGTGTCTGCGAGTTATTAGAAAAAGTTTGGGCTATTGCACATTTGATTCTATAAAACTGAAAAGAAAAGTGATTAGTTATAGAATTTTTTTTTTTAAATGTTCAGGTCAGCACCACTATATATTTTTATCTCAAACAATCTACTGAGTCAGATACAGTCTGTAAACTTTCAAGGCATAGTTACATTGAGTCACAGAATATTCTTTTTATACATATTGAATTCCCCTCCCCCTCAGCTTGCTCTTAAAGTTATATACAATTGGTGGTTTCCCCTTCTAGGACACTGTAAAGATACCAATTAGTGTTTGCAATTTTTGAGTGTTCCTTTCACCTGTGCATCAAGAGACCTAATATAGATTTGCTAAACATTTTGCTATGTCATCTTATCCAATCATAGACAGGGCTTTGGGCAATATCCAATTAGGCAAGGCATATTTCCTGATAGATGCTATCTGAACTACTATCTGAAAAGGGTTTTGTGTCTTAAGGGTTGGCGTCAGAATACCTAGCCACCAGGGGGAGAATTTGTGGATTGTTTCCCGACTCGTTCGTCTCCCGAACGAGAACCTCCCCGATGCCCCATTAGAACATTCACACTAATCAATCAGAACGTTCACGATTGCAACATAAGTGTGAAACCACAAGGGAAGTCATTAAAGAATGCACCCCTGGGTGGCCACCATTTCGTACAGACAAACGCCGTCCAGTGGGAGCATTCGTACCCCAAAAAGAGACGCTTCCCTTGCAGGGTTTCACACAGGGATGTCGTGGGCGGAGACTTGTCGAGGAAGGCACCGCTGTAAGAGTCCATGAGGTTGGTGTGGACACTTCTGGGGCACTGGCTAGGTTGGCGGGCTTTTCTGTGCCTGAGAGACAAAGGGGAGGTCCCTTTTTCCAGTGCCTGGACTCCCAGACACAGAGGCTCCTGGATAGAAGACCCCTGGCGGTTGGTGTGGGAAACCCTGTGGTTTTAGTGGCGGGCTTTGGGGACAAAGGGAACGGAGTCCCTTCCTGTGCAGAGACCCCAAGGAGGAGGAGGATCCTG